TCATGCTTATTATTCATATTCTCTAATTGTTTCTTACTTCAGTTGTCTCATGTAAAGGGAATAATAAAGCCCTGATCTTCAGAGAGTTATCTGACAATATAAGTGACACAAGAAACTAACAAAAGACAATCACATGCCATAAATTATACGTGCATGCATTTATTGTTCTTTTGAGAATGTGTTAATGAAGCAGAATATAGCTCTGAAATGTTAATATGTTTAAAAATCAGAGACTCTCCTCACAGAGCACACAGTTTGCCTTCCTTCCCTCAGCTATAGAAAACAGCTCTTGTCCAGGAAATTGTCGTGTTCCCAAGTTTTGAAGGACAGAAGCGTGCATATCCCTATCAGGACTCAGACGAAGTTAAGAAACTATCAAAATGAGTTAAGGTTCCAGCTAAACTGATTTTTGACCTGGTTTAGCCAGCCACCGTGGGTCATGTTTAAACATAGTTTTCATATCGTTTGGCCTCATTTTAGGGCCTGTCAGTACAACAAGTACAACTGACTTTTTGTAGCCAGTTTGTGACACTCTCATCTAAGTGAATTACAACGAACACAATTGAATTGTGTCTCCACTCAGCAACGTTTTTCCCACAATACAGCAATATGTCTTCTAAGTTTGTTTAGTCAAACCAATATACCAAGCCATGTTTGTAACAGTGCCTTCTGGGAAAGACCTGAGCATTTATCTCACAGTGCCCTCACCTCCCAGCAAATGAAAAAGGGAGCTTTTCCTGTCCTCTTCACCAGGATCTTGTTGCTTCCTGGCCTTTTATAGGGTCTAGAGAATAAAGAAGGGAGTTCTCTGGGCTTCCTGCCAAGCTCCCAGTACAGCCTGGCCTGGGCAGGTGTCTGGTGAATAGCCACGCACTTTACAACCCTGGTAGGCTCCATTGCTACCAGGCCCACACAGATAGCTGGAAGGTGAATTGGGGTCCTCTCCAACCTCTCCAGTCTCATGCAGGAGTCTAGAGACTGACATGAGACTTTATTGTGGAGTTGAGATTTTTAGCATGTTATAAAGTTTTGCTAACTTACTTATAAATTCATTTGTTTGTTTGTTACTGCTACAGTATTAACAGTAATTTGGGTCTGAGTTCTGTTGCCAGGGATTTGGGTTTGTGCTTTGTATGCCACTGGCCAAATACTCAGCCCAACTTATTCCCTCACTTCCCATCCTTTTGCGCTCTAGGGGGCATGAACAGAGAGCAATTGTGCCCAGTCGCATATCACCTTTTGCATAGGTAGATGCACAGTCTGGACCATGGCAAGTGGATTTATTCCAGGGAGGTGAAGATGGTAACTGGACCCTTTTTCACATTATGAGAACTTTGAACAAAATAATTGCATAACACTGTTGAATGGTTTTGCAGCATGGTAGAACGACATTAAGGTTTGAGTGGGTGAGGGGGACAATAAGTGCTAATCACCAATTTCCAACAAGTTTTAGGATCTGTACCTTTTTGGTAATGAACTGTAATATTTTCTGACATCTTTTTATCATTAATTTGCTACCTCTTATTGGCTTTGCTTGGTGACAGCACAACAGAAATTTTTCACTGTACTGATCTCTGAGCCAACCCAATATTAACCTTATCCAGTATGAGAATTAGCCATTGATTCATATACTTTGCTTCCTTCCTCCTAAATAGTTTTTGATCAATGACAATAATTTACCTCTCACCCTGTGGTTATCATGCTTATTTTATAGCTCTAGTGTGAGACTTTATCCAATAAATGATATCACCTTTATCCACTATTTTTTGTTAATGCTTGAAAAAAATTATAAAACGTTAGTCACAATTTACTCTCACAGAAGATGTGCTAATTTGTCCTTATCACATTATACTTATTTTAGTGCTCTGTAATTTTGTCTTTAATTACTTTCTTAACAATTATTCCCCGTAATGAAATCAAGATAATTGGCCTATATTTCTTTGGGTCTTTTTTAGCATGGGTTCAGTGTTGGCAACCTTCCTATTCTCTAATAAATAGAAAAATAAAATATCTGTCTAAGGTATTTCTATAGCACACATCATTGTAGCATCTAAGCACAGTATAATACATTTGCAATGATAGATTAATATTTTCGTTAACAGGTCATACATTCCATTCTTAATTTCCATTAGTACTTTTGGGTAAATACCATCCAGGTTCAGTTGATGTTCAGTTGATATTACATGGACACTGTTAAGATTGAGAAACCTGAAGCCTGACCAATCTTTATTTCGGATGGCTGTTTGTTAAGTCCATGTAATGATCTAAATGTTTCTTTTTTCTCAAAGTAAGTGTTTTAATGCACATGTTCACAACGAAAAGAAGCAGTTCCAGTAGCCAAAGACACAGGAGAACTCAGCAGAATTGCACACAACTGATAGAAGGGGAAAAACACATAAGTAAACAACTTCATTAAATTTCAATGGATTATTATAAACAATAGAAAAAATATGAAAGGTGCCTTGCCAATGCCCTTTGAATATATTCCCAGTTCCCTTATTTGCCTGTTCCTTCTCCTGTATGTTGTGTACCCAATACACTGTCCTTTTTGTAAAAGATGTGCAGGTGAAGATAATATGGGCATGTCAGTTCAAAAAGTCCAAACAAAATTACAATATACGAAGGGATATTATTATACAGTCCCATCAGTGTGCATGGCACTTTACATACCAATGGGAAAAAAAACAGGTCTGTGCTTGAAGGAATTTACAATTTAAGGTCCTGTGGGGTTTGGAATGGATGGGGTTCCTGCACAGTGTAGGTATGATTGATGGCATGCATATACCCATCCTATGTATGCAAATACATTAACAGGAAAGATTCTATTCCATCATTATGTGGGGCTTTGTGGATCACTGTAGAATATTCATGGACACCTACATCAGATGCGGTGGCACAGAGAAAGATACCAGGGTATTCAGATCTGGCTTGTTTCAATATGGGCAAGCTAGTATGTTGTTTCCCCCAAACAACACAGTGATCAGTGGAGTATCTGTGCCCACTGTGATTTTAAGCAACCCAGCCTACCCTCTGCTGCCCTGATTGATGAAGGCTTATTCTGATGTAACCCTTCTGGGCGCCTAGAGGCAATACTTCCCCTCTTGCAAGCACAGAGTCTGAGTGTAGCAAAAATCTTTTAATAAAAGGAGGGAAGAAACTCAGCATTAATTTGGGAAAACACTGCAAACAGGGTCCATAAACATAACCATGAGCAAAAGACCCACCGCCAAGTAAATTGGGCAGTGTCCTTTTCCCCGTGGGTTCTTAAGTCCAGCAACCCAAAAGTCCTTTTTACATGCCCATCCCTTCTCTGCACCCCACCTTGGACAGCGCAGACCCAAAGTTCAGAGGTGCATCTGCAGAGTTCACCTCCAACCCTGGGTGGAGGGGCGGGTAAGGAGGCACCTTACTTGTTCCGCTGCTTCGGCAATCGCTCACTGCCCCTCTGTGGGGCTCTGCTCTGGCACTCTCCACCAGCCACCCTGCTGGCCACTCACCATGCCTCTTCACCAGCCACCCTGCTGGCTGCTTGCCAAGATGTCTTCAGGGCTCACCACTTAACACAGCTCTCAATGAGTTCAGCTGTTAGTTAGGGAGCCTCACTGCTGGTGCACACTGGACAGTCTCTTGCATCAGAAACACTGTCCCAAAGCAGGTCTAATACTTAAACCTAGGTATCAGTGATTTCAGCTCTGCAGTATGTAACAAGACTCTCAATTGAATCTAAATTAGCTGTTATTACACACTGGAGACAGAAAGGATCAAACAGTGCCTGGCACCCTTAGGCATAGCCCACACCACCAGCTACAAGTGCCTGTTCCCATCCTTTCTCAACTCATTGGGCTTTGGAACCCATGTCCCTGCCTAGCAAGTAATGTTTAATTGAGAGTGAGTCCCTCCGTTGGGAAATGCCAAGTACAGTTCTGTTGCCCTTGATTCACACCACAAGGTTAACAAGGTTAGCACCTTTATTACTCCTGCCCCAATAACAAGGAGACTGGGGATCCCACACCAGCCAAAAGTGACCATTTGGCCAAGCAATCCCATCATGCTGAGCACCTAGGCAGGGTGGGGGTGCACATGCAAACGAGATCAATTCCTGAACTCCTCTTCCACAGCTCATCTCTAGATGTCAGGGGACAGCTCATTCAGACTCTGCTTATACTGATTTGCACCAACTGGAAAAGGAGCAGTTTAACAACACATTGAGCAGGTACAAGTTGATGGTGGAATGTGCTTTTGGCCAACTGAAAGCAAGGTGGTGCTGCTTACTGATTTGTCTGGACTTTAGTGTGTTTAACATCATACATGTGATCAGGGCATGTTGTATGCTTCATGTTATATGGGAGGATAAGGGCAAATACTTTGCAATGGATTTGTCTGTGCCAACAATGATGATCTGGAGTCTGCTTCCAGGCAGCCACCAAATATACCCCTTGCTGGCACAGGGTCTGTTACAGAAAAGGCCACAAGGGATGCCTTGTGCACTGATATTCTTGAACTGCATGGGGAATATACTGGGGCTGATTGATGCTGCTGCCTTGAAATCACATGTAATGCTTTTGCATGCATTAAAGAAATAAAGATTCCTTTCTCTTTACTTTTATTGAAATTGATTCATGCTAAAAATGTGGGCAAATCCACTGCCCTAATGTGGTTCAAACATGCAAACATAAGACATAACAAAAACTTGTCACTAATAAGAAAACTAAACATTAGTTTATCTGTTCTCTTTCCCCTGAATTGGAACAGGTGTAGAGTGCACAGATCTGATGATGGTCTGAGGTTCCATGGCTCATTGATTGGTTCCTTCAGGCATTGGGTTCATAGGCTGTAGGACATGGCAACACTGAAGTAGAGTCATGGTGCTTATGCACACTATGGATTTGCCCTCATGGCTCATGAGCCCAAATAATGTCCTCTGAAATGCCATGTCTCACTCCTTCATCTCATGATCATGCATGAGATGCTAGCCTGCAGCTTCTCCTCCATCTCCTTGTCCTCCTTTCTTCAGTTCTCCTCAGACTTCTTGTGCTTTTCCAGTCACCTGGAGGAGTCCTTATGCACCTCCATGCATCTCTGATCCTCTGTTGCTTTGACCTCAAATTCTGAAGGCTTTCACTGACAATAAATGACCTCTTAGGTGCCCTTCCTTCCCTCAGTGAGTCTGATACTGTTGTACTTAGTCCTGACAGAGAGATGGAGAAAAGTTTGTGAGTGCCCTTGAATCCCTCATTGTGCACAGCCACAAATAAAATATATCAGAATCTATATCCAGAGAATGCCTTTATCTTTGCTGAGTCTCTTGGCCACCAAATTTTCCCAGGGAAAGAGATGATGAGTAAGGCTAAGATTTCATCATAGAATTTTTTAGTAAAAGTCATGGACAGGTCACGGGCAATAAAGAAAAATTCACAGAAGCCCTTGACCTGTCCCTGACTTACTAAAAATATCTGTGAGAAAATGAGGAGCTCTGGAGTCCCTACACTGCCTGCGGCGGCTGCGCAGCGGTGAGGGCCCTGGCTCAGAGCTCTAGGAGCCCCCACCACCCATGGCTCGGAACTCTGGGTGTCCCCCCCGCCTGTGATGGCTCGGAGCTCCGGGTGGGTCTCCACCGCCTGCAACGCCTGGGAGCTCCTTGGCTCAGAGCCCCCTGCTGATCGCAGCAGCATTGAGCTGTGGGGTCCCCGTGCCACCCACAGCAGCTCGGAGCTCTCAGGGGCCCTGCGACCTGTGGCAGCCAGGCACTGTGGGGTATCCCCACTGCCCAGAGTGTCTCAGCGCTCTGGGGGTACCTTGCAACTCCTGGCTGCCGCAGGCGTGGGAGGGACAAAATCATAGCCTTAATGATGAGTTCATTTACCTTTCAACTCTCCCAAAAATTTCTTTTTGAGAAAAGCGGGGAGGGGTGCAGGTCCTGGGAGACAGAGCAGAAATGGTGATTATACTAAACACTTTTCAGGCTGCTGCCACCTTACAAGATGTCATGCCGCTTCAGATACGAGAATGAAAGAAGGACCCATTATTCTAGACCTCAGGGAGATCTTCTGTGTATGCAATGGAAATCTTTCTGTGTCTTGTGACAGATGAATTGATAAGTGCCTGGACAGGGATTGCAAGTTAAAGCAGTGGCAGATGGAGGCTTCCCTTACCAATGAATCTCACAGACTGTCTGGAATTTTTATTAGGTGAATAATTCTATTTTACTACTCTCTCCAGGAGTGGACCAAGTAAGATCAGCAATAAGCCAGATTCTGCACTAGTGAGAGGGCGACTTCGCAAGCAGGGGTATTGGATAGAAGTGCCTTTAAGGATTGTGTTACAACAACAAATTACATTTTCTCCGAGATAAGGCCACAAATATTCAACTTTTGCATTAATGTTTTTCCATTAAAAAAAGCTACTGCGTTCAGCCCCTGTAAGCTGCTGCTCCCCCCTCCCCCACTTGTCTGCCATTTGAAGCACCGTGGTAGCAAGAGGGAGGAGGAGATGGGATGGTACACAAGTACAATGGCACAGCATCTGTCCATAAATGAAGCAACAGCTAGGAATAAGCTAAAACCTGCCCAATATTTCATAATATCTGTCATAATAATTGTAATGCTGGCAGACCAGATGCCAGCTAATGCCAAGGTCCCCATGCCTCAATTGAATATTGACAAATACATAGCTGGAATCAGTCTGGCTCACCTTTGTGTTAGTATTGTTAAAATAGGTATTAGAATGATAAGAATGTGTTTAGTGTTTAAACTTCAATGACTGTGAGTTGCTGCATGTATTAATCTCACTTATAACATCTGTATTCCATATTGTAGGAATCATAAGAAGTCACTATTACTTTTAGGTCCTAAATTTAACTTTCCTAAGGTTTCTGCCATCTTTCACAACAGACTAGTGCAGAAGAGAATTGTTTCGAAAGGGAACAGCTTCTGTGGCTGGTGTTGTAGCCCACATATAAACGTCTTTGAACCACGCAGCTAGAAAGTGTTGTTCTGGGGTCAATTGGCCACTAATGATAAAGTATTCTCAAAAGGTAATCTGCGAAATTTAAGAAAAGTGCCAGGTCGCCTACTCCTCTTCCTTTGTGAGGTGTTGGTTCCCACGTCTTTACTATAACCAAACCTGCTTCGGGTCTATGAGGCCCCCAAATAATCTTATGTCTTCCCATACATATCCTCAATATGACCCAACCTACTCCAAATGCTTTGTCAGAATATATAGGGAAAAATTCTGGCTCCAAGAATGAAAGCGGTTGCTGGGGATGGGAAGAAATATAGCTGCTTTGAGACCATACTCTGGCTAATCTTGATCTCATGCATAGCAAGGCCCCTGCTCTGGGCTGACAATTCTTTAAACTGTCCCTGGATCAGCCCCTCAAAATAAACTATTGAGAACTGGTAAGATTTCTGAATGGAGTCAGTGGTTCCTTTTCTCACCACTCCCATTCTCTGGGGCAGATTTTTATATTAAAGGGCCATTTTTACTTCCTTCTATAATAAAGTTACCTCAGATGAACTTAATAATACAAGTTTTGCTTATACTGCCAGAAGCTGTTTACACAGACTGAATTAACACTTCATAATAAGCCAGCCACCTCTGAATTTCTCAAACAATGGACACTTGATTTGAATTTATGTCCTTAACTTTCATATCTTTCCACATGCCAATGCAGAACCTTCTCGTTTACATTTAAAAAGCTGAGCTAAGAAAAATCATCCTTCAATGTATTTTGCTTCCTTTAAATTAAATGATTAGCCAATGTGCATTTGCAGAATTGGGGAATGGGGGGTCCATCAGAACTAGGGCACAGAGCCTCCCAAACACCTTCTGCTAGAACTGTGTGATGATGCGGCTTCCTGGAATATGTCAGCAACCAGTCACTGGAATAAACCGTTGGACTAGGGTAGCATTGGAGCAGATTCATTGGCCTCCAAAACCTTCAGTAAAAAGAAGCCTGTAAAGCAGGCAAAGGAGACTTAAAAGGAGAAAATAGGGAATAAACTAATCAAAAAGATTTTTTTTTCCTAAGAAACATGGTACACGTAATAACCTAGGGTTACGCCATGAATTCTCTGTAACCAGAGTCACGTTATGGGCCAAATTCAACATGATGGAACATGGCTGGACATGCCGTGAGGACCTTACTCCACCAGAAATATCCTTTTAGATATTGTGACAGACCCAGACTAGTGGGATACAGGAGTCTGGTAGAAGGCAAATATATTGGCCACTGGATGAACAGTTTTCTGTTCCCTGAGTGACCAGAGCAGGGGCTGCCCTAGAACAATCAGGAGTCTGCCAGAACCAATTAAGACAGGCAAGCTAATCAAGACACCTGGAGCCAATTAAGAACTTTCTATATTCAATTATGGCAGGCAGGTTAATCAGGACACCTGGTTTAAAAAGGACCTCCCATCAGTTAGTAGGGGGTTGCACCAGGAGCAGGGAGTGAGAAGGCGTGCTGCTGGAGGAGTGAAGAGTTCAAGCATGATCAAGCTTCAGGAGGAAGATCCTGCAGTGAGGATAAAGAACGTGCTGGGGGGAAGGCAATGGGGAAGTAGCCCAGGGAGTTGTAGCTGTCACGCAGCTGATACAGGGGACATTGTGGACAGCTGCTATCCACAGGGCCCTGGGTTGGAACCCGGTGTAGAGGGTGTGCCTGGGTTCCCCCCCAGCCCCCAACTCCTGATCGGACACAGGAAGAGTTAACCTGGTCTGTGAGAAACACCAGAAGGGAAGGTCTAAATTGGAAAGGGATCTGCCCTGTCCCCGACCCACTAGGTGGGACACGGAGACTGCGGGGATTGTTCTCCATTTCCTCCATGCTGGCCAGTGATGAGGTTAGCTGAGTGGATGCCAGGTTTGAGCCACTAGCAAGAGTGGCCAAACTGAGGGCTGCCGTGAATCTCTGAGGAAAGCAAATCCGCCAATAAGCGCAGGACCCACTGAGGCAGAGGAGGAACTTTGTCACAATATGCATGCAAGTTCTAACATTTTTATTTGTTTTTCATTGTCTTTTTTAATCCTTAAGGAGCCACTTCTGGGACCAAAGCAACACCCTGTCCTTCTATAGCTTCATGATGAGGCAATTTTAAAAAAAAACTGCTCGTCACTCAGGCTTCACATAAAAGACTATGTCATCATACTAATGAGCCAGTCACAAATAGTAATAAACTATTAATAGATAAGTGCTATTTGTTCTGGGGAGCATCCTTTAACCTGCTCCAATATATCCCACCTCATTCAAAAGATCTTAAGGTGGATGAAGCTGACTTGTTGATTCCAGAAGTATTCTCAGTGGTCCTCGCTCACTCTACCTCTCTGTTTTTGCCCACATCCACCTCAGTGTAATAAGTACAGCAGCGTTGCTAGTTCTGGGGATCTTCCTTTAACACTCCTGCTTCCCATTATCCCACCTCATTCAAAAATCCTGTCCTTGATCTTTATACCTATAATGCCTCCCTTACACAAGCGAACTACTCATTAGGCAAATGACTTACCAGAAGATGACTCTTCATTTACATGATAATGTCATTCTGGAAAAGGTGTTACCTGGAACCTTTAGCAATACAAAAGGACAGAACATTGAAATGTATTCATGAAAGTTTGTTTATTCAGAATTACTCTGTAGAAAACCTGGGGCTAAATTAACTAATTGGCCATTAGATTCTTGGCTACACTAGAAAGTTGTACTGCTCTAACTATACCATTATAGTTAAAATGGCACAATCCCTCTAGGGTAGATGCAGTTATATTGGTATAAAGCAGAGGTCCCCAAACTGTGGGGCATGCCCCCCAGGGGTGTGTGGTGGAAGGTTTGGAGGGGCACAGGTGGGGCCCAGGTCAACCCCCACAGGGGGTGTAAAGGGAGCACCACCCAGCTGCCGACCTTGTGCCGGCAGGGGGCCCTGGACCCCAGCCTCAGCCTCGGCCCCCAGCCTTGGTCCTTGGCTGAGGCTCCACTCCCGGCCCTGCCCACCCCCAGCTGTGGCCCCAGCCTTGGCCCCCTTACCCCTGTCCCCATCCCCCTCCAGAATTGGGACCCCGTTCCCAGCCCCGGCTTGGGGGGGGAAGGGTAGGGCAGCAGACAGGGGTAATGGGGATGTGAGTGTGACCCTGAAAAGTTTGGGGACCACTGGTATAAAGGTATATCATAGGTTATACCCAGTGATGAGTTGCCAGAAGCTCAAGAACTGGTTCCTTCACTCGCTCCGGGTCTTCGACGGCACTTTGGCAGCACGTCCTTCAGTCCCTCCGGGTCTTCGGCGGCAATGAAGGACCCGCCGCTGAAGTGCCGCCGAAGGCTCGGAGTGCCGCCAGGTCAGTAAGAATTCACATGGGAGCCTCCCCAGCCGAGAGCTCAGGCGGGACAGACAGGATGGTCCCGCGGGCCCCATCCTTTCCATCTCGCCTGAGCTTCCCCACCCCTTTAACAACCGGTTCTAAACCGGCTTCAAAATTTAACAACCGGTTCGTGTGAACCGGTGTGAACCGGCTCCAGCTCACCACTGGTAATACCTCTAGGGCACCCCATTGGGGTGAGGGTAAACACCTCCAGGTCTGGATTAACCAATGTGCATGTTGTGCATTTGCACAGGGCCCCCATCTCAGGGGGAGGGAGGGGTAAACTGAGTGGTGATGTGTAGCAGTGCCACTTGCTCAAATTTGGCACGGCCATGATGGAGGGGCCAAACCTAGGCAGTGTGGGCTGTGTGAGAGCAGTGAGAGCAGAGCTGGGAGGCCAGGATCAGGAGGAGCCGCCCTAGCCTGGGACAGGAGCACTGAGCCAAGGGGATGCTGGTGAGTGGCCAGGAAGGGCCTCAAAGCAGGGGATGAGGGCTGGAGATGAGTCATTGGTGGGCTATGGGGTGAGTGGGGAGTGTTGCAGGGTGAGGAGTTAGGGCAGGGGTGGCCAACCTGAGCCTGAGAGAGAGCCAGAATTTACCAATGTACATTGCCAAAGAGTCATAGTAATATGTAATGATTATATATGTGTGTGTGTGTATAATATGCCCACACATAATCATTATATAAGTTGATAATGTGTATTTATTATACATTTATAAAGTATAGTTAACGATAATAACAACTTAATCTTTTACTTAGTGGGACTTCTGGCAATCTTTACTTTCAACAATTCCCATGAAGTTTGGTTTGTGATCAGTTGTGTTCACATGCAGCAGTTCTCTTAAGTGGCTATCTATCAAAATGGATCGATGCTTGGATTTCACATGTTTGAGTGTCGAGAAAACAGACTCACAAAGATAGGTCGAGGCAAACATCGAGATTAATTTTAGGACTGCACCTTTGATGTTGGGGTATTTATCCTTTGGTACAGATTTCCAGAAAGTAAGGGTCCCCTCTGTCTTCTGAACAGATTTCAGTCTGTCATATTCCAAAAGTTCTATTATTTCCATCTGGGATGTTGCTTCATCAGTGACTAAAGGGGGCTTCAGACAATTGACTTCAGTACTAAAAGGGTCAATCCGAAATCTGATTTGAGGTCTTTTCTGCTGCAAATCTTGGAATCTTTCCTCAAAACTGTCCTTAAGATTTTTAATCATGCTCACATACCTAGTTGTGCTCCATTTTAGGGGTTCTGCTGCATCTTCTTTTGAACTGGCTTGAAGTTGTGACATTGAGGGAAAGTATGTCAGCTCTCCGTCAAGCATTTGTCTGTGAAACAACTGCAGTTTGTTCATGAATGCAAATACACCTTGCACTAGATCAGACAGCAACTGGAATTCTCCTTGTAAGTCCATGTTAGTTTATCCAAATGCAGCAGCATGTCTGCAAGAAATGCCAAGTCTAGAACCCATCCAGGTTCTGTAAGCTCAGGGTGTATTCTGTGCTTCTCCTCATAAACAATTTTACTGGTTCCAGGAGCTCAAAAAAAAACAGGAAATAACTTTACCTCTTGAGAGCCATCAAAGTGTACAGTGAAATGGCAAATTGGCAGGGGAGTCATCTTCATCCAGTTCTTCAATTAGATTTTGAAATTGTCTGTGATTGAGTGCATTTGAGAGAATGAATTTCACAATGTGAAAAACAGGTTTCATGACGTGATGAAATTTGAGATTTTTGATACCAGTTGCTCCTGATGAATAATACAGTGAAATGCCCAAAATTCGGGAAAGCTCTCGTCAGACTTACAAAGCCCTACTAATCCATTCGCAAATCCCCTCCTGGACGGAGCCCCGTCCATTGCAATGGCAGTGAGCTTCTGTAAAAGCAAGTGGTTTTTTGTAACTACCAACATCAGTGCTGCCTTTAAATCTCGTCCACAAGTTCTGTCCTTTAGTGACACAATATCGAGGAGTTTGTCCCTTACAACATAGTCGTCAGACACAGTGCAGACAAATACTGATAATAAGGTTTATCCTGTGCATGGCACGACTCATCCAAAGCAATGCTCAGATACTCACACTGCTGAAGTTGCAAGTGCAATTGCGATTCAATGTCACAGTTCAGGTCGGAGATTCTGATAGGGCTGCCGGTTGGTGCTGAGCATCCACCATTTTCCCCACAAAGTTGGCTCCTAGCAGGAGCCGTATTATCTTCTGAAGAGCCGCATGCAGCTCCGGAGCCACAAGTTGGCCGCCCCTGGGTTAGGGGCAAGTGGAGGATGTTGGGGGAGATGGGGTGAGTTGTGGGGGTAATGAAGGATGTCAGGGACAGTGGGGTGAGTTGTGGGGGCTGCATGGGGAATAGGGGATTCTGGGGATACTGGAGTTGGGATGTTGGGAGCTGAGGATGGTGGGGTGAGATGCGTGGGATGTATATGAGGGCTGCTGGTATGTGCGGGGGACTTTCAGGATTAGCAGGGCTGGGAGAGGGTGTTGGACAGGCATTTGGAGGTCTGTGTATGGAGAGGGGTGGGGTGGGAGAGGCATTCAGAGGTCTGTGTGGGCTGATGTATGGGTGGGTTACGAGTGGTATTTGGGAGTCTGTGTGTGGGGTGGGAAGAGAGGGGCATTCAGGGGTCTGTGTGTGGGGTGGGGTATGTTTGGAGCAGGAGCACTTTGCTATCTAGTTTATGGAAGGTGGGGGCCCCAATTACTATAGTGCACAGGGCCCCATAATTTTTTAATCTGACCCTAGGAACCTCTCTCATCCCAGACATACTTCCTTGTATGTAGACATCACTGTAGTGCCAGTTTGGAGTCCAGGATGTGTTCCTCCCGCAGTAAGTCCTAGAAACACAGCTCCTTCTCTTCTGAGCATAACAGCAGCCCAAAACAAAAAAGGGAAACAAAAAATAATCCTGCAGGCCACAAGACAATCCGGGCTCACCCCACTGTTCCCTGCAAGGCAAAAGATAAATCTCTATGAAGGGGATCTGGGTTCCTAGAAACTCTGTGTGTCTGAGGAGCCCAGGCTGAACACCTTGGGCTCCAAAAGGGAAAACAGAGTAAAGAAGGTCCCACTGTCCTCTCCACATGGCCCAGGCGGCTAAGGCCCTTCAGCAGCTTTCCTGGTAGGCAGTCCTAGCTCCGTGGGGCTAGGAAGCTAGAGCTCTAAGTCTAGCTGGGTACGTCTACACAGCAACTAGACACCTGTGGCTGGCCCTTGCTAGCTGACTCAGGCTCGGGCTGCGGGGCTGTTTCATTGCAGTATAGACTCCTGGGCTCAGGCTCAGGCTGGGGCCCGGGCTCTAGGACCCTGTGAGGTGGGAGGGCTCTGAGCCTGAGCCCAGAAGTCTACATAGCAATGAAACAGGCCCGCAACCCGAGCCCCATGAGCAGGGCCAGGTTTACAATGGCGCCAGTGGCTCCATGGAGCTGGGTCCATGCTCAGAAGGGGCCCTGGCCTGCTCCGCTTGCACTGCGCCCTGAGACCCCACTGGCTCCCCCCACCCACTACTTGCTCCTGTTGGCCTGCCCGCCGGCCGACCAAGAGCTCCTCTCTGCCCCCTGGCCCCACCCCCTGCTTCTCTCTGCCCCCTGGCCGGACCCCTGTGCACCTCCAGCTGCGGGCAGTCTCTGCTTCCCACCACCTGTGGGGCCCTGCCTGTCCCCTCGGAGCTGAGCCGCTTGGGACTGGTGCAGAAGCCTGGCCAGTCTCAGCCAGCTGTGAGGAGGGACAGTGCTGGGGGGCTTGGCTGGTGTGTCTTGAGGGAGCCCAGCAGGGGCAGGCCCTGGCCTGGTTGATCGCGCCACTCCCGAGGGGCCGGAGCGATTCCCATTCCTGGTTGTGCTGCCGGCTCATCCCAGCAGACAGTCGCCTCCCAGCAGGGTTGGTGAATGTGGCCGGGAGGCAAGGCGTGGAGGAGTGGTGGGCTGTGAAGGGGTGGGGAAGAGCTGTGTGTGTTGGGGCACTCGGGAGTGCGGGTTCTGTGCAGGGGGGGGGTGGAGCTGTGGGCAGGGGTGGTGTGCAGGGCGCTGTGCATTTGTGTGTAGGGATCTGTGGGGGGCTGGGCATAGGGAGTAGGGGGGATGTTGGGCGGGGGGGCTGTGTGGCGCAGCATGGGCCCACCCCCGGAGGGGAAGGGGCATGCTGGCAGCACAGGGCCGGGTGGGCCACTCTGCGTCTGGCAACTGCTGGTTTGTAAATAGTGCCCTTATGCTGGGCGGAGCGGGGCTGCCCCTGCCATGCCATGACCTATTGCCCCTGGCTGGCCCCTCGCTCTGGGGACTGACCTCCCCATGCCATGCTACATTGCCTCCATGGGGGCCCACAAATATATTTGGTGCCAGGCCCACAAAAGATTAATACGGCCCTGTCCATGAGTCCAAGCTGGCTGGCGTGGGCCAGCCGTGGGTTTTTCTTTGCTGTGTAGACATACTCTTGCACACTTTAAAAGATGGATTCTGGATGAGTCCATCTCAAAACAGGACAAATAGTAAACTTGATTTAAGACTACGAATGGGTTAAAAAAGCCAAACTGGATTAAAAAGAGGAAGAGAAGAGAGAGATTTATGTTATACTTCATGACAGAGAATATATCCATATGTATATATTTGTGCAATTACTACCCAACAGAGATAACAAATCAACAACCCAGGAGACTGAAATCTTAAATCTCTCCGTAAAAGATATGCCACAGGCAGCAGCACGTGTTTCTCCCATGCTCACTAATCAAAGTGCCTCAATCCAGTATTGGAGGCACCATTCTTGTGGGGAAGAATGTTGTTCTGTCTTCACGCTCATTCATCCTTTAGCCCTTCTGGTGCAATGCATTACTGGTGTAAATTGAATTATTTCTGTGGACGTAAACCAAGGATGACCCCTGGTTTCTAATACCAACATTCATAGTAGAACAATTGTTACTAATTAAGTTTATCTTGTCTGAGTATGACATATAGCAGAGAGACAAGGTGGGTGAGGTAATATCTTTTATTGGACCATCGTCTGTTGTGAGAGAGACAAGCTTTTGAGCCACACAGAGCTCTTCTTCAGGCCTGGGAAAAGTACACCCAGCATCACAGCAAAATAGAACATGAAACAGATTGTTTATCATAAGTAGTTAGAACATATTGTAAGGGACTATTCAAAGTAGCAGTTTTAATCCTGATACTGATTTGATTTAACAATTTAACATATTCTCATTAGTAAATGAGACATAATATCAGTACACAGTTCAACTGTCAACAGTGCAGGCAATCCTTGTGAAAAACAACCAGAAAGGGCACAACTCTGCTCTCAGTCACACTGCTCAAAATATACAAATTATTAAACAGAACGGCTGTGAAATCTCAAAGACTAAACTGACATTATTCCCCGGCCAATGAACTTACACTAAGTATATCTTCTGTAGAAATACACTTCTTGATCTGGTAGCAATATATTCCTAGTCAAAATCCTTAGTACTACATATGTTAGTAATTAACATTTGGATTGTCTACATCTTTTTTCATCACTTTTCCTTGCTTTGTTTTCAGTAATAATGTTATGAAGATGTCAGTACTGGTAATCTGAAATTATTTAACAGTAAATGCATTCTTTGATTGCAAATCAGGCTACTGAGCATAGGCAGAGTAGTTTAACCAGCCAAAGAGAAAGGGGCTTTCTTTGATCTCAGTAGAAAAACTCCCTTTGATCAATCAGGTAGACAGTGAGAAAGATAAAGTGTTTGATTGAAGTCAGTGGCTGTAGGATAAGGCCCAAAGAACCTTAGCTTTTACCTGGCTCCTTTTAAGTGGGCCCAATTCAAAGTGAGTGAATATCCAGTTTGATCTTAAACTGCCTTAATGTCAAAAACACATATTAGGATTCCCGCTTCAGTAAAGGGATTATGTTATGTTAGAGCAAAATTGATGGCTGGGACCAAGTTAACAAGTTAACTGAACAAATGAATTAGATCCTGGGTGAGATCATTTAAAATATGACCAATGTTTGAGCTAGTGTGTATGTTTATTTGGCAAATCTGATAAAATACTTTAGCAGCAGGAAGGATTAAATTTTGTTATGCTGAAGGGTATTAATAGCCGCCAACAAGCAGGCCTTTGATCTGCAGACCTTGTAAAAGCTAATAGGTGTGCTAACCATCCTTCTTTCAGGCTAAATGGAAGAAGCATTAAGCCCCTTTATGAAGAGAGATAGCTTACTCCTTGGGGCACTCTGTGCCAAAAAATTAAAAATTCTGCGCAAAATATTTTAAAATTCTGCTAAATTGTGCAAATTTTATTTGTCAAAATAGCAGTACATAATCATGCCAGTTTCAATTATGTTGGTAATTTATTTCAAAATACCTGTCAGCAACTATGTCTGTAACAATACACACAAACACAAAAATTCCCCCAGGAGTAGAGAGTTAAAGAAACCCCTGTGACAACCAATTCCTGTTTCTCTGCCCCCTTCGGCCCCCACAGAGCCCAGCTGAGGGCCCAGACACCCACAACCCCTTCCCTCAAGAGCCTACCTGTGGGCCCTCTCAGCCAATACACCCAACCCTCCTCCTCCCCAGTGCTTAACCATAGGGGCTCCCAGCCCATATACCTGCATCCCCTCTCCTTCCCCCCCGAGCCCAGCTGCAGGGCCCCCCTTACCCAGACACCCGTCCTCCTCTCCCCTGTAGCCCAGGGATCCAGAGGGAAAAACTTCCTGATACTCAGTTCCAGGCTTACACAGTTTCCTGATGACAGGTTTCAGAGTGGCAGCAGTGTTAGTCTGTATCAGCAAAAACAACGAGGAGTCTTTGTGGCACCTTAGAGACTAGCAAATTTATTTGAAAATAAGCTTTCGTGGGTTAGATCGCACTTCATCAGATGCATGGAGTGGAATGTGTTGAACCGCTTCCTAGCAACTAAAAAAGATGCAGTGTGCCCGATTATGATAGTTTGGCCAGAAAAATTTATAAGACTAATTTATGACCTTTGAAATGGACATAGAGTTTATGCTCTCGTTATTTGGGGAAGGATGGCCTTGTGGCTTAAGCATATGACTACAAATCAGAAGATCTGGGTTCACTTCCTAGCTCTCCCTCAGAATTCCTACAGGACTTTGGGCAACCTACAGAACCTTTTGAAAATTCTGGCCATAATCTCATTGTCCCTTAGTTTCTCCATGTATATAAAATGGGGATAATATTTCCCAATTTCACAGTCAATTTGTGAAAATGGATTCATAAATGTTTTTAAAAAGCATTGATTTCCACCAATGGAAATGACTATATAAGTGAAAGTTTATTTATATTTATTAATTATTATTACTATTATTATACTGATTAGACCAGATCCTCATGTAGGCCCTGATCCTACAAACATTAGGGTGAATCTACAGTGCAGCTGGAAGTGTGCTTCTAGCATTGGTAAAGACACATTAAAACCAGCAGTGCAGTCACGGGTAGCATCAGCAGCAGCTTGGGCTGACTGCCTGAGTACAAACTCACCTGGACCCCCTTGGTACCAACTTAAGTGTCTAGCCTGAGCCACTGCCCATTCTACCCCGCCAGCTGCACTGCTATTTTTAGAACTTTAGCAGAGCTAGTGTGTATCTGCCTACCTGAGCTGAGAAGCACCCTCCAAGCTACAATGTAGACATACCCATTATCTCCTCATGGTAATAATGTTAAATGGGTGCATGTTTGCAGGATCTGGGCCCTAGTGTAAATTGTGTCAATGAATCTACACCAATTTATGCCACTAGAAGATCTGCCCCATCATTTTGAGTGTCTCTGTATTAGTTGAATTTAAAGTTTTTGGGGTGTTTTGTTGTTGTTTTTCAAGGCAGGGGCCATATTTTCCCTATATGTGTGTACAGTACGTAGAACAG